CACTGACAAAAGATGAGCCACACAGATGTCACCAAGGGCAGAATTAGGAAGCAACAGGATAACAGAGGTCTAATTAAGGGCAGGATTTGGCTGGTGGAATTCTCATTACTGAACTTAATGCACCAGTCAGAAAGAACACAGCTTGACTATCAGAAGAACTGGATTACCCTCATAGTGAGTTGGTAGTTAAAAAAAGCATATCATTATGCTTGTAAATTCAACCACTGTAATCCAGAGGAAAACAAGATAAGGCAAATATAAAGTTCTACTATGCCATCTTACAATATCTGCCTTTGAGCAGAAGCCCAAAAAGAGATATTTTAAGAGAGTGAAAGAAAGAAAGCAAAAAAGATCCAGCAAATTAATCTCAATGCATAGGCTATTTTATTCCTAGAGCTTCTTTATTAATCCAAGGAGAAAGCTCTGATTAGAAGGCCATAAAACAGTACACCTACAAAACATTTTCTGTTCCTTTTGTTGTTATTATAGCGACATAACTTGTTTACCTGCTACTTTTCATACAAAGAAAGTCTCATCAAACCTTTTAAAACCAAACAAAGCTGTAGATCTGCAAGCATTAAATAAAGTGGCAGAAATTGTGGAAATAAATAATGCATGGAACAAAAGCTATATACCTGCCTCTTGCTCAACAGTAATGGTGGGTGACAGCAATTGCTGCAGCAGATCAAATTACACAACAAATTAATATAGCCTGGTGCCTCCTCACCAGATGTTTTAGACCTCAGTTCCCATCAAGTCCACCCAGCACAATACTGGCAAAGGATAGTGGGAATTTCAGGCTAAAACTTCTGAAAAACCCTAGCTTTTTCAAAACCCCTGAGACAGACAGTAAATGAAAACTGCTGACCCAGTTCCTCAAATGTTATCTTTTTACCACTTTTTTTTTAAAAAAAAGAAAGCTAATTACAACTGAGTCATGGTACACTATGGCCAGTGTCCAGAAGAAAGGCCTTAAGTGCACTTCCCTCTAATGAAAACCGTAAGGATTTAAGTGCATATTAGGTGCCACTAATTTCCATGAGATTTAAGAATGTCTGACTTTGTTTTCCCCCTGAGAACAGACCTGAAAGCACATAAAAATAAAGTGGCATGCTCATCAACATATTGAAGAGCACTATTTGTTGATCTATAAATAGATTTATTTGTAGAATAGTAAGAAGACATTTTGTTAAATTCCCGTTCCATTGGGCACATACTATTTGGAGAAACATTATTTTATCCTCACATAAACCAAATCCAGTATGATGTGCTACAGCAGATAAAATTTGGAGGAAACAGGAAACATAATGATTTGTGTTCCCTATTCACTGCATTTCTTCAAGGAACTTTCATAAACAGTTTGGGATACAGCAGAGAAGTTCTCTGGGTTTGTAGACATTGTAGATTGTATTGGTAGTCCCCGTATACTTTCACGAATGTATTATACTCCTCACAGAACCCTCAAACCTAATTAATATTTCAAGCTACTTATGACTTTTTATACTAAGGTAAAGCATAACAATGCATTGTAAGCTTGAATCCATCCCCGCCCCCGCCCCCCTCACACACATACACAATTTTCAAGTCAGGGCCACTTTACTGTCCCAAAGTAACTTTTCTGGAATCCTCAAAATTGGTCTTTTGTGAAATGTCAGATTCAATGACTTCTTTAAGCTACAGTTCTATATCCATGTAACTGAGGTTCTATCCCAGTTAACTATTGGGGTTTATTCCTGAGCAGTATGCGTAAGATAATAATACAAAACTACTAGCATGTTAAAATGTCTTTGTGTGCAAGGCTTGTTCTGTCTGAGACACCATCACCTAGATGTTAAATGTGATCTAAATACTTCTCCTCCAACCCATGATATATCAGAAACATTCTGTTCAAAGTATCCAAAATGGAATTGGCCAATTCATTTTGTGCTGGACTATATTTTTCATACAAAAGTTTCAAATTTAGAGTAGGTGTCTAAATTCATTGAGGCAAAGAATACCATTGTGGAGACAAGGATGGAGAATCTGCGAAATATTATGCATAATAATAACATGGTATCGAAGGAAGCCACTGATCTCAAGGATTTGGATTTAGACTTATAAGAGTAAACTCACTGAAATCCATAGGACAAATTAGTCATTACTAACATGAGCTTCATTTACTTCAATGGCTCTCTTTGTGTAAGATTAAATCTAGATTCAGTACAGTTAGAACCTCTACCCTGATACTGACATTGCTAGATTTTCAAATCCATTTCTCTCTCTCTCAGCTTCATGTATAGAACAGGCATTTGAGCATGGAAGCTGGAATTATGAAAATTGGAACATTGGAGAATCTGGAATACTGTGGGAAAAACTGGCATGTAACAGATGTTCAAAGTGTTAGCCCCATTTGCTCTGTTAAAGGACACTAGTGCTTTTTCCAGTTTCAGAAAGTGGCAGTGCCAATCCTATATGGTGTTGAACCCAAGACTTTCTCCACACAAAACATGTGCTTTAGCCCTGAGCTACATTCCTTTCCCTAACAGAGCCTCATTATGTCTGATTACCTGTGAAAAATAAGGCAGATGCCACTCCACTTGAGCAAGTTTGTGACTAATTACCCCAATCTTTTAAAGATTTATCCTTTAAGAACTAATGGATAACCTCTTTTACAAAACATTTCTTCTAAGCAGATTTTTGGACCAATTCTACAATCAATAAATAATTTTTCCGGCACTAACGTGCAGGATACCCTCTTGAAACAGGAACTGCACAATTGGGTCAACTGATTTAAAAACGAATGATGATTGCAATAATGTGTGTTAGTTTATCAAGCCATTTACATATTCTTTCCAATGGTTGCATTTTTGTTCCCTGTTGTTTAATGGACCCTTTTCTCTGTCTCATAATGAGTTCTCAGAGGTGTGCTAATGAACAGAAGCTATGGATAGGCAAACTGAGTGTGTGTGTCATAACACATCTCTTCTTTGTCTCCATTTTTCTTCCTGTTACACTAAGAAATGGTCACTGAGAATAATTTAATTAATTTATGTCCACAGATCTGATTCTTTTTTCTCATGTGGCTTGGTTGTTAGTGGGGTTTTGTTTGTTTGTTTGTTTTTGTTTGTTTGTTTTGTTTGTTTGTCTTTAGCAGCTCCACTGATACTTGAATTGCTTATACAGTCAATACCTGCTAGCCACATTTTGCATGTCCTGGGTATGAAATGCTTTTGACTTGTGCCATCATTCCCAGCACTGCCATAGTGCTGAAAAACAACGTCCCATGGAAACATGCTGTCAAGTGCTCCTCTTTGGCCATAAAACAACCTTGGATATCTCCGAAGTGTCTCAGTAATGTTTTCTTTCTTTCTTTCTTTCTTTCTTTCTTTCTTTCTTTCTTTCTTTCTTTCTTTCTTTCTTTCTTCTGTCCCTCTCCCTTCTCCCCTCCCCCTAGGATGTAATTGGAAAAGCACTGCAGTATATTGGAACATATGGAGAGCTCAGTAACACCGAACAAGTTGTGGCTGTGATTGATGAGGAAATGTGTATCAACTGTGGCAAATGCTACATGACCTGTAATGATTCTGGCTACCAGGTAAGAACACAGCTGTAATTAGCAAAAAGGCCCTGTGAGTTGTCTTTCTGCTGCTGAGGCAGAAGGATTCCACTGTCTCTTGATGGGCAGGTGGGAAAAGTAGATTTACAAGATACTGGAAATTAACATTGGCACACTCCCAGGTATAGACTGCATGAACTATGTCTGATCCATTCGCAGAGGTTGTCAATAAAGCGGGTTTCTTAGAGACTTGGGATACACAGTGCACTCTCTCATCTCCCTCTACCTCCCCCCTTCATTTTTCTTGCTGCATATCATCTATTGCTAAACTGCCATGTTTCTCCCAGCATTACATGCTGCAGAATGCTGCTGAAGACAAGGTACATTCAGATCATGTTGGAGAAAAAATAATTATTTTGGCGGGTGCACACTAGAGAATCTATTTAAATAAGTAAAACTCAAGTAGATTTAATTGTTTCACTGACAACATCAGGACCTATATTAGAGCAGGAAACTATTTTCTTATTTTTAATAGTATTGATCTGGTATTGGGATCTAAGAAATCTCTTTAAAATCCTAACTGATGATTGGATAACTCCAGTTTAATATAAAATATATTAATTAATTATTTAACATATAATTTACACACATGTACATATGTACATATACAAATATAGAGACCCACACAGATACACAAACATAGATGTAGAAGAATTAACTTAATACAATGGAATTCAATGTTAGATTCAAAGTTATAATTTAATATTGGACTCAACAGTAGTAACTAAAATTTGGACTTATCAGGAAGCTGAAAAGAGATGGCATGGAGGTAAAATATATTAGAAGCATAATAAATAATGCAAAGAGGTCATTTAATAAATAATGCAAGGAGTTAATTTTATTTAGTGAATTAAACAAGATGGAATCTTGTCACTATATACAGACATAAAAATAACAATGAGACACTCAATAAGGCAACCCATGTCAACCCAATGCCAGGGAATGCCAACAGGGTGGAGGCCACATGGATTTCAGGGGGGATCTCATTCCAAAGGCAGGCACCACAACAGAGAAGGCACACTTTCTGGATCCAATAGATAGCACTGTTTATAATTTGATGTTGAACATAGTTCTGGGGTTTGTTTTGCCCACACAAAAATGTATTCTGCCTCCTTGACATGTTAGAACAAGAAATATGATGCAAACACATGTGTTATATTTCTAGCCAGTTTGAGAAATTTCTGCAGGACACAGTTGAGTCTGTTAACATGGAGTTCAGTAAGTCCCCATTCTTGTTCATTTCAATAGGAATTGCAGGATCCTTAGAACTTTGTAAGCTTAAAGTGATTCTTAATAAAATAATAAAGGAGATGAAACACCAGAGAACAAGTGCAACATTGTCATTGGGAAATACATAAAATATGAGTTGGTTGGGGATTATTGAAAAATGGTTCACAAATATTTCAGATTTCTGCTGGGAGTCCACACTCTATTGATTCAGGTAGGTTATACTGTTGCAAGACAGTCATGGATCCATTACAAATTAAACAAATATACTAAGGAGTAAGAAAGAAGATGCTGAGAGAAGCAAGGTGGGGGGGAGGGGCAGACACCATGCTGAACTAATAAAGAAGATCCACATTCACATTTTGTGCATTTAATAAATTGTTCTTCTTGGTCTATTCAACTTGATTAAAGTGTATCGTGTCTAAATGACTGTTAAAGGCTGTGTGCTTTGACAAAGGGGTGTGTGTGTTTTAAGAAATATATCACATTAGGAAGATTTGGACGGGTAGCAATTTATTTCTATCTAGAATGTTTAGTGAAAATAAAGAAATAAAGGCCACAAAACAGATTCTCTCCACCCCGCCCCATCTCATCTCATCTTTATGTTCCTGCACTTAATAGTCCAGACAACCTGGTATACAACTGCAGCTTGCCAGGGCCCTGGAGCCAGTACTGAGAAATTGTGTCACTAAAAGTCCAAAACACTTAGAGGGCATTTCCCTTGTTGTAGATAGAAAATATTAATTTAGCAGAAGTGTACTAGATGTGCATATACTTTTTAAAGTAAAAAATAGTACTAGAATTCAGCATTGTTATCAGCAAACAAGTTTTAGTTCTAGCTTGGATATGAGTTAACTCCCAAGCTCCAAAAGTTGTCCTGAAACTTCTCTTGGAAGTAAGAATGTCTTCCTCCCTCCCTGCCACCCTCCTTCCCTCCCTTCTACTTAGTGTGATTCTCTTTGCACTGGCACAACCTCAAGAGCTGATAGCTGTGGCATTGTTTTTGCTGTTGCACCAATTTTCCGTTGCCTTTGCAAAGCAAATATTCCACACCACATCCACAAGCAGAAACCAGGTTTTTAGTAAAGTTCATTTTTAGATTAGCAGAGGTTACTGAAGAATAGGGGCCTGGAGCAGAACAGCCTATCTAAGTCTACATAGATACTGCCAGAGAAAAGTGTTCATGCAAGTAAACACAAACTTAAAAAAAAAAAAAGATTCACGTGGTAAAAAACCCCAAAACAATCCTATGGGAATCAGAGATTTAAAAAAAACAAAAAAATCAGCAGCACTGGTTTGTCTTATAGAGTGCTGTTATCAAAGATACCATAGCCTAATAAAAATGTACTATAATATCTTATAGTGACAGTGCTGAAATAATTTAGTTTGCTTGCAACAGCAATAATGTTCTGGTGCTCTTTTATTTTTAGCAGTGGAACAATGCTATCATGAAAGTGTGCCCATTAGTTGCATTTTCTAGCCAAGGCCTGTGCTGTAGGCATGGATTGCTATACAAGAATAATTGGTTGATTAACAGGGGTGTTCAGTCTACTAGCCATAATGGAAGACTCACTGGTCCATTTCAGTGTACTCTGTACTGTAGTTGCTGCTATCTCATTATTCACCCTCTACATCATTCACCCAATAACTGGTGAGCCTTGAGGATTCTTCGTAAAAAAGGCTGTTCATGAAGGTTGCTTTGTATTTTCTTAATTTTTTTCTGCTCATGGTAAAGAGACAAGTTATATGCCTGAATATCCAACCTTATGTTCAAACTGTTTGTGCTGTTTCTGGATTTACCTGCAGCTTTCTGGGGTCCATGAGGCAACAGACAACCTGGCTAGTTTAGTAGGAAACTACCATAGGAAGCATTTACAGTGCATTCGGAAAGTATTCAGACCCCCTTCACTTTTTCAATTTTATTATGTTGCAGCCTGATACTACAATCGTTCAAATTCATCTTTTTTTCTCATTAATCTACACTCAGTACCTCATAATGACAAAGC